ACAGATAGACCTCCAAAGCCAAGCTCATCCAGTGAGTCAGTGGCAGATTTGGGAAGAGAACACAGGTCGTCTGACAAGCAGACCCCTGCTCTAAACAGTACACAATGCTGCTTCACACAGTACTTTTCAAAAAGAATTGATGATAATCCTGGTGTCCTAGCTGGAATTCCTTTGTTCAGTAAAAAAAAAAAAAAAAAAAAAAAAAAAAGCTCTGATATCTGTGAATGAATACAGGGTGGCTGCTGCCTTTATGCCTTTAATCTCACAGTCAACATGTTTCAGTCCAGGCCAGTAGTGACTGAACGCTGTTCACTGGCCCATGTGAAATAAATTTGGTGGGTCTCAATCTAGTTTCTACTTAATTGGTGTCCATATCATAAAACCCATTACATTTGGCACTAACTGGCCCCCTTGTTGGCAGCCCCAGCAGAGAGGCCACAGGCCAAATGAGTCACAGAGACTGAACTTTTTTCTCATCTTCCAGGGTAGGGTTGAGATAATATTGCCAGGGCAGGGTATGTGCATATGTGAGAAAACTTGTACTGCTGCTGCCTGGACTATACCTGTCCTGTGAGATTTTATGTATTCGGGCATAGTCTGACATCTTTCACCAGATTCACTTCACATAAAATACAGGAAATAAAAAAGACAGGGAAAAATAAGTTAAACACTAATAAATAAACATTTCAAGGAATGATTTCATCTTACTGACTGTGGAAGTATGGTAGGGATCTGAGCTTAGGCAAATCAAGTGGGCCCCTTATCCATATTTCTTTCCTATATTGTAAGTGAAAGCGGCAGCAGCCAGAGAAATGGAAACATCGACAATTAATTGAAAATGTTACGTCTGCTGTTCATGCAAAAGGCATAAATATTTATATCCTGAAGGCTGACTTTTGGGTTTGCTCCTCAGCAGGAAGAGATTTACATTTTGAATAAAGAATTTTTTCTTTCTCCCCCTCAGTAAATGTGAGCAGTTTATTATCCCCTTAATATTATTATCCCCAGTCCTCTGGCCCAATCCTGCAATCCTTTTGCACATACACTTCCATCAACTTCAATAGGAATTACATGTATGTAAAGACTAAAGGATCAGCTCCCTTATTTACAGTCAGAATGAGAGGGAGTTTGAAACAGAAAGGTAGGACTTGAGATCAGAAAATGAGAAGACGGATGAAATTAATGACTCCTGAGATACTGAGTTAATTTTCTAAATCTGTCTTCAATAAGAAACAATGAAAAATGGTTGGACAATTAGAACATAAGGAAGATTTTACACTATTAACTATTGATAAAGAGCAGGGAGAGAAATACTTGGAAAATGTAAGCATACCAGTACACTGGGCTGAATGATTTGCTCTTTAGGGTGTTAAGGGAATTAGCTAACAAACATACATCACCCATTGATTTTAGAAAAGTCATGGAACTCTGGTGAAGTATTCAAGAAAATCAAACATAGCCCCTGCCCCAGTGCTCTCTCCAGATTCCATCTCCCCTCTCTTCTCTCCACCTTGCTCCTGTAATACTGTCCCTACCTCCATCGCCCCTCTTCTCTCCCTTCCTGTCATTTCCCATATTGGTGCCAACACTGACCCAGCCTCCCTCTCATTTCCCCTCACCAGTTATTCCCCACTTTGACTCCTGTGCTCTGCTCTTTCACTTCCATCTCCTTTCCCTTTTCCCATCGCATTTAATTTAATCCCGCACTCTCTGCCCCACCTTCCATCTCCTCTGCTGGCACTCCCCCATCCCCTTAGCTCTGCCCCTGTCTCCATCTCCTCTCCCATACCTCTGCAACCTCACCTCCCATGCTTGCTCTCCCTCCATCTGTTCTCCCCTCAGCAGTTACTCTCCACCTCAGACCCTGTGCTCTTCCCTATTTCATTCTCAATCTAAAGAAAACTCAGAACCCTTCTTTCACTAGGTGGAGGCTGGATTTACCTTCCCTCATCCCACCCTTCAGCACCCTTCATTTTTCTATTTTAATAATTTTTATCTTTGTCTGATTAATAATAATAATAAATTTTAACACTGAAAAAAACCTGTTACTAACCTTTCTGTAACTGTTGTTCTTCGAGATGCGTTGCACATGTCCATTCTAATGTAGGTGTGTGCTCGCCTTGAGCACAGCCCCTGGAAAGTTTTCTCTCAGTGGTATCTGTCGGGTCAGCTCTGGATTTGGCCGAGTGGTGTTGCAATCAGCATAGGAATAAACTCCGAACCCTCCACCTGCACAACTGCTTGGGAGTCACCTACATTGGAATGGACATGTGCAAGGACTTGAAGAAAGAAAAAAACGGTTACTAACCTTTCTGTAACTGTTGTTCTTTGAGATGTGTTGCACTTGTCCATTCCAAGACCCTCCCTCCTACCGCTCTGTTGGAGTTGGCTGGCAAGAAGGAACTAAGGGGGCTACGGGTTGGCAGGACCCTTTATACCAGCGCTATAAGCGTGCGACTCCAGGAGGCACCAGAGCCGACTAGATGGATACCACTGAGGGAAAACTGTGCTCGGGGTAAGCACACACCTACACTGGAATGGATATGTGCAAGCACTCCAAGAAGAATGTAAGTTACCAATAAATTCCAGCAAAATGCCCTGACAGTGAGATATCTGAAGCTGTGAAATCCTTTGTACATTTCAAACATGGCTGGACACACCCTTGGAGAAAAGCCTGCAGGGAATAATCCTGCCCTGGCCCCTAGGTAGTCTAGTAGGATTTTCCTGTCTTTAACTTCTATGATTCTGGAACATTTCCAGCAGTTACGTGAGTTCCCCAGACTAAGGCCTTGACTGTCCCAGACAGTGCATGCTGCCTCCCATTAGTGGACACAGTACCCGTTGATGAAGCTTGGGTTCTCCAAAGACAAGTTTCAAAATTCGGGAGCAGCCCCAACTCCAGGACACGGACAATGTGGAAGGGAGAGAGATCTGAAGTGCCAGTGTTGGTCTGCAGCTCCATGCTAGAGATTAATTAGTGCAGATCATCCCAACAGGGTCAGCAGACCAGGCCAAGGACCTCAAGAAGCTCACCTCCTAGTAATCACCAGTATAGTACCTACTTCTTTGCCTTTGTCTCCCAAGAAGGTAAAAAACAAAGCAAATAGTATGATGGGAGAGTGATTGCACCCACCTCTGTTTTGCTCCCTTGTTTCTGAGACCTCAGAATTTCAGAGCAGGGTTTTTAATTTTATTTATTTATTGTTAACATGTTTTTTCCTCTGGGACTAGTTCTCCTGGTTCCCAGTCATTTCCTCCTGTTTCCATGGCAACTACAGCTGACTCATATGTGTGGTTGCCATGGAAACGGTGCTAGTGCCCCTTTGAAAGGCTGCACTGAAACAGGAATGAGATTTGCATCTCTGGTGCTGTGTGGAGCAAACCTTGTCTGACTCTCCTGGGGGGGACATGAGGCACACTGTATAAATTCAATACAAAACCCAACTAAATCCTTTCTCAGAGGGATTTTGAAAGCTGGTGAAATGGGTACATAGTAGAGAAATTGGACACTTGGGTTTGGCTGCTCAGGGTTGTACAGGAATTTTCAGTGTGTTGTGGGCACACCAATTTCTTTGGAAATACCAGTTACAAGCTGGCCATCTAGGGCGAGACCAGAGTTTACCTCAGCCAGCTAACACATTTAAAACTATGCCTTGCCTTGTATACACTGGGATTTTAACACAGTAACACAGGGGTGGGCAAACTTTTGGCCCGAGAACCACATCTGGGTATGGAAATTGTATGACGGGCCATGAATGCTCATGAAATTGGGGGTTGGGGTGCATGAGGGGTGAGGGCTCCAGCTCCAGCAGGCTCTGGGGTAGGGCCAGAAATTAGGAGTACAGGGTGCGGGAGGGGGCTCTGGGCTGGGGCACAGGGTTAGAGTGTGAGAGGGGGCAGTGAGGGCTCCAGCTGGGGGTGCAGGCTCTGGGGTGGGGCTGGGGATGAGGGGTTGGGGTGCAGGAGGGTGCTCTGGACTGGGACCGAGAGGTTTGGAGGGCAGGAGGGGGATCAGGGCTGGGGCAGGGGGCCTGGGGTGCAGGCTCTGGGGAGCACTTACCTCAAGCAGCTCCCGGAAGCAATGGAATGTCCCCACTCCAGCTCCTACGCGGAGGCGCGGCCAAGCGGTTGTGCGCGCTGCCTTGTTCGTAGGTGCCGCCCCTGCAGCTCCCATTGGCCATGGTTCCTGGCCTATGGGAGCTGCAGGGCCAGCGCTTGGGGCAGTGACAGCATGTGGAGCCTCCTGGCTGCCCCTACACTTAGGAGCTGGAGGGGGGACATGCCGCTGCGTCCGGGAGCCACGCAGAGCCACAGCATGTGCGGAGCAGGGCAAGCCCCCGACCCCACTCCCTGGCTCGAGCACCAGAGCAGGGCAAGGCCCGGACTCCACTCACCAGCGGGAGCTCTAGAGCTGGATTAAAAAGTCTGACAGGCCAGATGTGGCCCCCAGGCCATAGTTTGCTCACCCCTGCAGTAGCACGTCAGCTAGCACATCTTAAAATACACCTTTTTCCTAGTGAAGACAAGGCCAAAGATTGTATAACCATGGGTCTTGGCCCAAACTAGGATGCGCTCCTCCTTGCTTTAGTTACATAATGCCAAAGAGCCATAGAGTAAATGTGCTTCCATTTATCTGTTTGATTTTCCACATTGTCTGCCTCATATGGCTCTGTCCTGCAGGAGTAGCTGCATATATACTATGTGAGGTAGTGGCTATGCCAGCCCCAGTCTTGCTATACCCTCACACAGGAGGACAGCATGGAAACAAGCTAGGAGTATCCCCCAGAATCCCTGCCTGACCACCACTGAGTATGGTGCCCAGAAGCTTATTGCCTTTGAGTGGCAGTGCTTGAGATGAAGGTTTGACTATGACTGCGTTATTTGTTTTGTGTTTATTGAAATTCTTATTTTGATGTTCCATGTTTTTTTGACTTGTGTATAACCTGTTGGTGTTGTGGCCATTGCCTGAATGTTTCTTTGCTCTTTGTTTTTCTCTCTAGGAGCCATCACTTGGAGTGGTGAAGATCATCTTTGACAGGATGATAGACCACTAGGCCCCTTCATGAGGCCCAGTCAATTTCCACCCTCTTCTACATTTTCCAGTGGATTCCCCAGAGATTATGCTATTCATCAGGGGTAAAAGGGAATGACTACTCAGTGATGGAGTACTATGGGGAAGTCAATATAGTTCCTTGGGGATATTTTGGGTGGGGAACTAGAAGTGGGGAGCCTATGTTTGTTTCCTCACTGATGTTCCTTTTCTGTTCTATGTTTTTCAGCACTCTGGAGGCTGTACATGTTCCTCTGGAGGGGTGCAGGTCCCCAGGCAACCCAGAATAAAGAGAATTTTGAAAGGGAGACTCGTGTGTGTTAGACGGTACAATCTGTAATTTTTCCTTAATTTTATTTTGGCAGAGGAATCTCTTGGTCCCACTGATGTTTTGTAAAAATAAATAAAATATATGTTTTTAGGAATGTTTCATCTTCTGTGACTGCTTGGGGAATGGGATTTGGGACCAAGTGGGCTGAGCTGAGAGTACACATGCTCTGCCTCATGTGATGCTGGGCATGCCCTGAACAAAGGTCAGGAGGATAGTCAAAGGCAACTCCAGTTTCACCTGCTGAGTTAGTCCTACTCACGCCAGGTAAGCAGCATATGTCTGGGTACATGGGAACTCAGTTAGGGCATCTGAAAATCTGACATGAGCAGTCAACCCTTAGCCTCACCTCTGTCCTGCCCCCTTTGTTCTCTACTCCCACTCAGGTTCCTTTTTTCGGGAGTGGTCTCTAGCTTCTCTCTGCCTCCCTCAAGAGGGGCAGGGGTTATGGCAGGGAGCACTCAAGGCAGCATGAGGTCAGAGTGTGCTAAATTTGGTATGTTCTCTACTCCAGTTACTTGATTCCCCTTCTGCCCTTCCTCACTAAGGCAGGTGCTGCCAACAGAAGCACATCACATGGTATGGTTGGTGCAGCTCCATCTTAGAGGAGCCCCATTTTGCTCATTCACTGACTATCTGGGCTGCAGAGGACTGCAATCAACTCCATACAAAGATGGGCAGGAGGCCCTCAGCAATTCCCTTTGCAGATGTGCACTTGCTTCCCAGTTGTTTTACATGAAAGCAGTCACAATCCAAACATTCCAATTCCTGCATCAGTGCATGACTTTGAGATGGGGTGCCTTTGGCAGCTTTCCCTTCAGTTAAACCCAATGTGCTGTTAGTGGAGGGAGAGGGAGGGAGCATGATAAAAGAGAGAGGAAAGGGGATCATGATGGGCTCCCAGGAAGCTTCTGGCAGATGATTTATTGGCAGCGTATAGGCCCATCCCGCTTAAAACACAGAGCATATCATTCACCTCGTTCCTGAAACTGTTCTGGCCTACAGTAGACTGGGCAATAAGCACCAGCCCTCTAACCACTTCCACTGGCATTCCCAGGACTTATGGGACTTCATTATAACAACATAACACCAAGACAGCACACTGTAGGCATCTGTGAATGAATCCACACCAACCTCTAGCAGCCGTGTGAGGATTATTATCCTTTTTATACAGACAGGGAAACTGAGGCACATAAAAGGAAATTATTTTGGAGAAAATTCAATAAAGCTCACCTTTCATTTATGGAGGGTGGAATCAATACGCCTTGCCATCATTTACGTTGGGAGGAGGAATGTAACACAGCTCTCCTTTAGTTATGGGAGGTGGAATCAATGGATCTCACCTCCATTTACATGGATTGGGGCCAACTCAATATGACCCACCTTTATTTCTGGGGGGTGAACTCAGCACAGTTTGCTTTCCTTTATTGGTGGGGAATCATTACGGAGAAGTTTCATGTGGGTGGTTGGTTGGACTTGACATGGCCCATCTTCCTTTAGAAAAAGTTGACTCAATATGACTCTCCCTTTATGTGGAGAGGCCCTAGTACAGCTTGCCTTACTTTATCTGAGAGGAGGACTAAACAGAGCTCAACTTCATGTACGGGAGGATGGACTCAATACAGCTCACTTTCATGTATGGGGGGAAGGACTCATTATGGCTCAGCTTGCCTTCATGTTTGCAGGGGATGGACTCAATAAAGCTGGGCTTCATGTATGGGGTCATGAACTTAGTACATCTCACCTTCATATGTGGGGGAGATGGACTCAAAAAGGCTCATCCTCATATACGAAGGGATTGACTCAATATAGTTTGCCTTCATGTCTGGGTGTTGGCTCAATAGGGCTTGCCTTCATTTATGGGAAGAAACTTAGTACAGCTCACCATCACTTATGTGGGGGTAAACTCAATACAAGTTGCCTCCATTTATGTGTGTGGGAGGCTGTATTTCAATATGGCTCACCTTCCTTTATAGTGGGATGGACTCAACACAGCCCTCCATTTATGTGGGGATGGACTTAATATTGCTCCTGTTTATTTATGAAGGTTGGATTCAATATGGCTTGCTTTCCTTTATAGGGTATTGTTATGAGTTGTAAATCAGTTGTGCAAGTGGAGAAATGGGTGTAATGGATTCCAGATCCACACCATTATGGCAGCATCTTTAAGTGTGCAAGAGGGAAAGAGACTTCTTTACAGATCCCTGGGGCATCATCAGGCAGAGGCATTAGGGCTACTGCAATAAGGAATGTGGGGGAAGGGCAAGAGGTTCCTGAGCAGCTTCCCCATGAGATTTATAGCTGGCATAATTCTTTCATCACAGCACCATGCATTCTCCAAGGATGTGGCTGATCCTTCTGCATTTCTGAGCTACTGTTCCAGACCTGAAGCTTGTTATTCCTTTCTCTCAAAAGGACACTAATCACAGTTATCCTATATATACTCCCAAAGGATCCCTCTCGTAAGAGAGGTGAAAGTCCAACAGGGAAGCATGAGACCTTTTCTGTAATCACCTATTGAAAGTCAAGCTTCCTGTAACTGGTTGGCTCAGGTGTAGTGGAGAATGGGATATGGAGTCTTTCACATTTAGGTTACTGGTTTAACTGTAGCTCAGGTTATCAGTGACTGAAAGTGACTTCTATTTGATGGCCATGTGGGGATCTATGTGACACAAGCTGGTGGGTTTCAGTACAATTCCTAGAGGACATATGCCAGAACAAATCATAAAAAAATACCAACATAATTAGCCACCTCATTGCAGCAAGGCCAAGGACTGAAAGGAGCACAGAGCCTGAACTCTTCTTGCACTCCTATTAATACTTAAAATTTTATACATATGACCTAAATAAGCCTCAGAGGCCCTATGGGAAGTAGGTCATTATTATCCCCATTTTACTGATGGGGTAACTGAAGCCCAGAGAGGTTAAAGCATGACATGCTTAAAGCCACCCAGCAAGCAATTCTCGCAGTCAGGAATAGGGCCCAGAAGTTATGACTCCCAAATCTGTTCTCTATGCACTAACAACTGCCTCACCAGTGAGCACCTTGAGAGGGCGCTATACTGGTAAGAACATTATAACTAGAGAAGTATTATACTGGAGAAAGTATTATAACTAGTGGGTGTGATATATGGGAACCAATAATACATGGGGTACATTTCAGAGGGGTGCACCGGGAACCAGACACAGAACCCGATACTCTTTACCCTGCTGTCCTCCTAACACTAGAGAAGGACAAATAGTTTCGCTGTGTTCTGTTGCTGTGACAAGTGGAAGGATCACCACTGGGAATCATGAAGGGGTATTGCCGTGGGAAGTCCACTGGTAACATTTGAGCAGCTATTAGGGTTCCCTCCCCACTTTGAACTTGGGGTACAGATGTGGGGACCCGCATGAAAGACCCCCTACGCTTATTTTTACCAGCTTAGGTTAAAAATTTCCCCAAGGCACAAATTCTTCCTTGTTCTTGGATGAGTACTGCTGCCACCACCAAGTGAGTTAGACAAAGATTTAGGAAAAGAACCACTTGGAGTTTTTATTTCCCCAAAATATTTCCCCAAGGCCCTTTACCCCCTTTCCTGGGGAGGCTTGAGAGTAACCAAGATGAGCACAGACCAGACACCTGGGTTTTAGGACACTAAAAACCCAATCAGATTTTTAAAAAACAAAACTTTATTATAAAGAAAAAAGTGAAAGAAGCACCTTTGTAAACTCAGGATGGAAGGTAATTTACAAGGTAATTAGATTTAAAACAGAGAGGATTTTCCCTTTAGGCAAAACTTTGGTTCCTCGCTAACCTGGAAAAAATACACACAAAAACAAAACAAACAACCTTCCCCCACAGATTTGAAAGTATCTTCTCCCCTTATTGGTCCTTTTGGTAAGGTGCCAACTAGGTTATCTGAGCTTCTTAACCCTTTACAGGTAAAGGAGGGATTAACCCTTTACAGGTAAAGGAGGGATTTTATGCTACCCTTAGCTATATGTTTATAACAGCAGCACATAAAGAAAGGCTTGCAGTGACACTAGACAGACATCGCAGTCTAACTATCCCAGCATCTGCAGCTCCCATTTCAAGGTGAAAAGATATTAGATAAATGTAAATGCAGGGCACTTTACTAATGCTACAGAAAATGCAGTATATTGAAGTCTTTACAGTCCCTACTGGCCTCCTGCCAAGCTGTTCCTTGCCTTTTGCTGCGCACTATGGGAAAATGGAGTAAGAACAAGGGGGAAATAGAGGGACGCTGTTTTAGGCCAAGGTCTGATGCCTTTATTGGTTGGTGAGGGGTTACAGTGCACATTTTTGATAGGCAGGAGATTTATGAGGTGGAATGCCGCCACTGTGCCTTTTCAATCCTCACAGCAGTAGGCAGGTTTATTTCCATCACCACATTGCAGCAGCGTCATTGCTTCTCCATAGCGGCTGCTTTTAATGCTGCTGTATTTAAAATTGTACGTGTCTCTACATGAAACAGGGCTTTTCGCAGTCTGCCTTTTTATATCCTGTCAGGTTGGCTGGATAGACAGGATGGGTATGAGAATGTCTATTTGTGTGGGAAGGCTATTCTACCATGGATATGATTCAGTAACAAGGTTCTTTCTATTTAGAGTCCTCTTGGGTCTTACACATTCCTTTCCTCAGAGCCCCCGTCTCTTTCCATCTTTCCATTTCTCTTCCTCCTTCCAGATCCAAAGGTTAGCCCCACTCTTTCCCATGCTTTCTTTCCTCACATCCCAGTCTGTCCTAGCCTTACTCCCCCTCCCGTTCCTGTACCAATCCCCAGAGCACTTCTGTAAGATGACCACCCTTGGCTCTCCATGTAAGCTCCTCTCTTTCATCTGGAAGCCTTCACATCCTAGTTCTCGTCCTCCAATCTCAGTCACGTCTGTAAACCTGTTTAATGATGGATCATATCTTTCACTGTCCTAATATAGCAGTAAATTAAAGAGAGAGAGAGTGTGTGTCACTGGGTAAGTCAACATCTTCCCTCAAATG